GGGATGCCAGCTGTGTAAATTTTCACGACTTCGACGAGTTAAATTTATATTTTTAAACTTCGACGAACTTGTCGAACTAAATCATTGCAGATATTCATGCGAGAAAACAGGCAAAACGTTCGGACCAATGACAGTGGCCCTTGGCCGTGACGACAGTCGAACGAATTCGGGATTAAACTAGCACATCGATCTTAATCTTTTCCATGCCCTTTCGCAGTGCCCTCTGGCGGTGTATAGATCAAATTAGCGCAGATCGGCCTGTCTCGTGAATGTTCGTAATTATTCGTCGATACAGACGAGTCTATAAATTTTGTAAAGCAAGTGGTGTATTTTCTCGATTTTCGTGATATTATGTCAATGGAAAAGTCGATTTTATAGTTTTATCGAATTACTCGATACTTGATAGACAGTCGATATCGTTTATTAGATAACCGAAGACGAGGTTAGAATTTCTTTGATTGCGAAGAATCTTTTTGTTTATTTATTTTATGGTAATTTTATAGTTCTTATTGATACAATGCTTAGTGTAAAAGAAGATAATTGTCTATTTTCCTATAGTTCTCACAGTGCCAGTGTTCATGTGTGTATTTGAATAATGTTTGCGTTGGTAGAATTTTGTACATCAGTTTACATTACTTTATATTCGAAAATACTGGTATCGATATAGTTTAGAGTTTGAACAAGGTCGTAAATGTTTTCGACTCGCTGGAAACACCTGACGGGCTCGTTGGAAAGGTTATAAAGTGCTCGATATTCCACGTACAGGTCGCGTTTAAAGTAAATCATTACGAAATAGAAAATATATTGAAAAACGCGTCCAGAATGGTAAAAAGAGGTTAGCCTAATATACGGAAGAGGCAACGAAACTGTGCGAGTAACGCTAGAACCATTGACCTGTAATCTGGTTAATAATAATTACAGTGATATAATGTAAATAAATAAATATATATAATTACGTTCCTACGCGAATAAAAATTAATATTAACTTTTCCACAGGGAGCCATATATTTTCGATACTTGAAGGAATGAAGGATCTGAAACGTGTGTCATGTTCACCACTTTGGTAGGTTGAGTGTTCAGCTTCTTGGATGTTTCATAGGTAATTGTTTATTTATTTTTCTATGTTTGTCCTCGACGTTAATCTTTGATCTATAATGTCGGGGACGACGAAAAGAATCGTGAATTTTAAAGATAAAAGTTTCGATATGTTTAGTATGAACATACGAAGGTGTCTAAACCTGAAGAGATAAAATCAGTGGAGAAGAATGGCAATAAAACCGACAGCAAGTGTTGTAATGCTGACACGCTGCTTCTGTGAGAAGCCATATTTACAGTCACATACGATCGGACATTAAATTTGTATCACGATTAACGTCATTCGTAGCTCAATATATAAATATCGTTATGTAATATTTCATACAGAGACACGGTGCAACATCCTTATAATTACCCAACGCATTTGGTCACTCAAATCATTTTTACGATAGCCACGCAGCGTTTCACCGCGCACATGGAAATAGAGGTTGACCTATACCGGTAATTTCACTTATTAGCTAATTCGCCAATTTCACCACTTTTAGTATACGACTTTGCAAATCCGTTAAACTGGACGAGCCAGACCTCATCTCGCTTTCTTCTCCAATTGTCGACTCGCTGGATTGCACGCCGACATGCTTGTGATGCAATTATTGTGGTGTTCGACAAAAATTGGATTACTCAACGATTCCTAACCTTGATTACGTGGTAGGGATCAGTTCAGCATACCGGGAGACAAATTCAGGCACATGAGAGATAAGGTGGATACGCCGTGAGTGAAAGTATGAGAGGGATACTTCGTGATTATTAATGTAATTTATTTCTCTCTGGAACCGAAACTACTTTCGTAATTCGTAATTTTTATAATATCTTACGATCATTGGTCATTCATCGAAAACTCCGACGCATTCAGAAGGAATAAAAAAGGGAAAAGAAAAGTAGCACGCCTTACACTTTATTAATTTCTTTTTCTCTCTTTTCTTCTCCTTTTTCGCGTCTCTTTAATTAAAAATACCTCTCATGTTTGGTTATCGAGAATTTTTGTAATGTTACAGAAATTTGGGTAAGAAGACAACAAAGGTATCCAATTTGTAGCGAATCATGCAGTTGGTACAGAGTTGTTACAACAAATTTCCTCTTTTTAAAGAGCGCTTTCCGCTCTCTTAAGAGCTTTGTTTTCATTTACGATTCCGTAAAAAGGCAAACGCATGAAGTAACAATAGCATACATCATCTACGTTTATCTTGGCATTCTGTCTATGAATACTCTTTAATAACTGGTTTTTAATATCCTGCTCGTCATAGTCTTTGATTATGTAGATCTTCAGATAAACCAGTGTTGTTTTCATGAAATCATCTTCGAGAATTCCGGGTAATTTGCATTTTCAGCCTGTAACCAATACGTTTCCGCAGACTCCAGTTTCTTTGAAATTAACGCAACGTTTGATACAATGAAAGTAACATAATTGATTCAAATCTTGAACGCGCGTTTCATTTTAACTTTTCGAATGAATTGAGCCCCGGCAGGAACGCGTTTCTAAATAAAATTACTCAGAAATAATTTATTCATGACATTATAAATCTTATGTTGCTACCTCAAATGTAATCAATCAAGTGTTACAACATGATGAAAATCACAATGGAGTAAAATAAGACAACAAATGAGGAAGTTAACAGAAGGCTAAATGTGTAAAATGTATTAAAAAAGAAAATAAAAAGAACATATTTAAGTACACTTAAACGAGTATAAAATGATTGACTAAGCTATTCAAAGCTTATTTCTGTTTATATATTTTATATATAAAAATTCGAAAATGAACACAGCTGTGTTTATTTTAGAAATATTATAGTATTTTAATTAGAAACATATTGTATCAGCAACATGTTGGTATATCTTAACCTCTTTTCGTAGGATCTAACCTGTCAGTGATATAAGTTACATATTATTGAAGCTATGTAAATGTTATAACGAGGTACTATTAAACATAATATTTCAAGAACAAACAATACGTTAATGGTTTGTGTATTCTGTAGTCGCAATTCGCGTAGCAAAATACTTGACCGTGTAATTAGTGAAAACGGATCTCCACATCAACCAACAATCAACAGACTAAGGACCGTACTGAACAAGCCAGCTAATCGGGTAACTTCATAATTTTGTCGTAAGTTAAATATTACTAACAAAATGTAAGATAAACGAAAAGAAGGATTAAAATAATTAAATTATTACTTTCGCGTAACATTTTATTGCTACTGAACAATTTATGCAATAAAAAACACAACGATTAAGCAATTTTTCGAATTAAATTTCATGAAATAACGGCACTGTAATTTATTGAAAAATGTCACGAGTTCAAAATGACAAATAAAATGTAATTATTAATATTTTATCTATTTCTTTTTTTTCAGCCAATCCAGTGGGTCAGAAAATTATTTTTATGCAATTTTGTACTTTCTTTCCACGGATTGTTAACAATATTAACTTTTAATGTATTTTAAAAGTAAAGAAAGATTTCTCTGTTGTAGACGTGAAGGAAATGTTTTTCAGTATAATTGAATAACTTTACTTTTCACTTCTGGAACAAAGTTTATTATAATAAACGTATATTTTGTTATCAAGAATTCATCTTCCTACATACGTTACTTAAAGGAAACAAAATTAATCATAAATGTTGCGACACGCCCACACCAGAGAGATCGTTCTGAATTAATTAATGCAACTGTTAAGATCGTTGCACCGTCGAAACAATGCGAGGTACGACGAAAAAATTCCGCGAAATCTTTGTTCAGTTGGAAGGCTACGGCGTAAAGATGGGTCAACCTTTCGCCTTGCGATTATGTAAGACCTCGGACTGACTGACCTTTAGGTTCGTTCATGGCATGCGGCATTTACGTAATTTACCGATTACGATGTATTAGAATTTTCTGTGCCTAGAAAATAGTTCTTCTTCCCGCTCTAATATTTTTAAGCTAGGTTATGTGTTCACTCCGTCATCGTTTTACTCATCCTTTACGCTCTTAATCATTTTTCGTCGTTCTCCAACTATTATCTTAACCTTTCAATGAATCCATTGAAATATGGCTTAACCTTACTTTCCCGACATTATTTTTTCACAAATTTTGTCAATTTTTTATAGCTGTGTAAATTGAATGAATTATATTTCAAATGCCATATATGATGGCAAGTAGTAAAAGAGGTAATATGGTGTAGGTTAAAATAACATGCTTCTTACACATTTTTCGCCGATATTAATTCGGGAGACTCGGCAAAACGATTACATCGTACCCTGTTACACACCGTGTCGTTTACTTTACGAAATAAATTTGAAAAAGCCGATAACATATTACAAATTAAATTTTTTATGCACCTCTACTTATGTGTATAAATATATGTAATCTTAATTAAAAATATATGCAATGTTAATTAGAAATATATTCCTTTAAATTTGTATTAGTTATTATAGTAGTTAAACTTTAAGGTTTCGATATCGGAATATTACACTTTTTAAGGATAACTTATTTGAACGTAGGTAACTTTATTTTTTATATATTAGAATCCTATAAATTAACATGTAATATTTAAATTAAAATATAAGATTATTTACAAATAAAAAAATAATTTTAAAATTGAAAATTAAATCCAATTTTTAACAATAACAAATAAAATACTTTTTTCATATTTAACACGTTAAATACTTTCTCAATGATTATTAAATCTATTTACATCCTCTTTAACAGAACATGTCATAAGTAGCGACATCTGAACACTTGCATTTGTTTGTAATGTGGTAATACGATACACGTGATGTGTAATTGATAATAATTTATTTTGTGTTTCTAAAAAGATAGTAAAAAGTCGTAAATTCGAAATTTATATTAGGAACTTTATTACTGGCATTTTGTGAATTTCAAAATTTTGTAAAATTTAAAATTATTTAGTTAATATAATTTAAAAAAGAAGGAACAATGTTAGAACAAACAATGCAAGTTTTAACAACGGGTAGAATTGTATTAGCTAGTGGTTCTCCTAGGCGTTATGAAATAGTGAAGTTATTGGTAATTTTAATACTTAGAATATAGATACTAACCTATTTGAAAACGATGACATTTGACAAGTTTTATCATGTATAATGAAAGTATTACATATTGCTAATTTATAATATATAATGTATGATAGTATTATACGATACATTAAATCTATTAATTTTATTATATGAAAGTTGAATAACATTCATAAAGTAAATTCAGTAAAAATACTGAAGTGCTATCATAATTATACAAAGAAAATAGATTTTTAATGAAAACTCATTTTATAATTGTTTATATTAGGGTATAAATGTGGAAGTAGTACCTTCAAAGTACGATGAAAATTTAGATAGATCAATGTATAAAAGTATTGGAGAATATACACAAGACTTAGCAAAATATAAAGTACAAGAAGTATATGATAGATTAAAAGAAGATACTATATCACCTTCTTTAATAATTGGTGCTGATACTCTAGTTATAAGGGATAACGTTATTTATGGCAAACCAAAAAACAACTCACATGCATTTGAAATGTTATCAAAGTAAAATAATTATTCTACGTATAAGTAATCTTGTGTATATATCAATATTATAAAAGATAAAATATAATTTTAGCTTAGCAAATAAGGAACACACCGTTTATACTGGAGTATGTTTGAAAACTCCAAAAAAAGAAGTAAGTTTTTATGAGTCTACGAAAGTAAAATTTGGTAATATATCAAAAGAACAAATACTGACATATATAAAATCTGGAGAACCTTTGTAAGTGCAAAATATTTGATTTTCTTGTAAATATAATAATCAGTATTAAAATGTGAAGATATTATCGTTAATTACTTTTTAATTGTAGAGATAAAGCTGGAGGATATGGTATACAAGGTCTTGGTGCATGTTTAATTGAAAAAGTAGATGGTGATTTTTATACAGTAATGGGTTTGCCACTGTATAGGATAACACAAAAATTGAATGAAATGCTCAGTGATAATTAATATAAACAAAATGTATTTAATACGTTTTAGGTAATTTATAATAAATGTGTAAAAAAAGAAATATTTCCATTTGCATTTTATTAAAATTTCATATAAAAAATTATACTAAAATTTTATGTATAGTAATATCTTAGTTTTGTATTTTAAATACTTATATTCTAAGTAGGTATTATATTTGTATAATACTTACAATTACGAGAAATTTGGAATAACTTGATTAAAATTTATATTTTTTGTAACATAACAGTATTTAATTATTATTTTAGTTTAAAATTAATTATACGTACATTTAAATAAAAATTATATTTTTAATATAAAAATAAACACGTAATTTCATTTCATATTATCAAAACTGAAAAATTGGCAAGATTTCGTTGCAAGAACAAAGTTTAATATACACTGTATTTATAAGGCTGTTCGAATCGTGCATGTAATGGCGCGTTGCTATTTTTTGCAATAAATGGCGACTGCAAGTGGAAACGCATATCTATATATACTTGTTTCTTTGCCACTGACACCTCGATTCCTGAAATGAAGTTCATAGTTTTGTAATGAATTCATTTCTTTGAAGATAGAGTTTAGATCGGAATAAATTGATTTTTCGTAGTGTTCTAAAGAATTTATATTGAAAGATGGAGGACGTTCTTGAAGAGGTTGTTTCTTCTAATGATTTAAAGGTATAGTTAGAAAAGAAATAAAAACCATTTTTACTTGGAACCATACTAAGGCTTTTATTATATACGTTAAGCATATGATTAAGTTATACAATGTGAAGTATTTCTAAATATCAAATTGTTTATTTCGAGAAAGAGGTTTCATTATTTTTTTAACTATAAGTACTACTGAATATGTTCAAAAAGGATAGAGGTTATATGTTATAAATTTGTCTTTAATTTTAAATAGAATTGTAATATGCTGTTTAAGAAACTTTGTAACCACATTTCGTATATAATTTTAAAATGAATATTTTTTATTACTTTTGCAAGAAATTTATATTTTAATAAAAATTAATGATGATATAAAATAATGATATCATTTATAGGTTAATTATAATTCAATTATCTATACAAAGTCTTGCATCATCTATTATATTATAGAAAAATGGATTATCTATTTGTTTCAGAAATTTGAACATATATATAATCAGCAATTACGTTCATCCTGTGTAACACAAAGAGCACAATTTGAATATGCATGGTGTCTTGTTAGAAGTAAGTATCCTGCAGATATTAGAAAAGGAATAATGTTATTCGAAGACCTATGTGCCACTGATAGCAATAATGAGATCCGAGATTGTCTTTATTATTTAGCTATTGGAAATGCTAGAATAAAGGTATGGTTTTCATAAATCTTATAAGGTTTTATAAATTATGTATATGAATTTAACAGTACTTAATTAATATTTATTTCTTCTCTCTTTATAGGAATATACAAAAGCTTTATCGTATGTCAGATCATTTCTTCAAATCGAACCTGGAAATCAGCAAGTACAACACCTGGAAACGTTGATTAAGAAAAAGATGGAAAAAGGTTTCTTTTTTATAAATTATTGTTTTAAATTATTAGAATTTAATATTTATATGTTTTTACATTTATTATTTGATAGTTCACTAAACATGGTAAATTTTAATGTCGATAGTTTCGTTTGATATCTTTTATTTTTAAATAACATATATTATATGTTGTTATAAATAAATTAAGAAATCTCCACATTATTAATGTATTAATTCTATCACATTTACTAAAAAAGTACAAATACTTTATACCTGTGCATATCATGTATGTTAAGTAATATGGAAACTTCATTTTGCATATTTTTTATCTGAATACTAATTATTATTTTAATATTGTGATATAAATTTATGAATGCACAAGTAGATTCTGAGTAAGAATGGATCTTGCACATTTTATATAAATGTCTAATTGACAACAGTGGTTGTTATTTAAATACCAATATGAAACAAGGTTTGTACAACTTTATTATTTATTAGGAGTATTAACTTTTCTTTTCTATTTTTGATATTTCTATCTAATATAACTATATAACCAGTTGTGCCTTCTAATTTTGATGTGTATATTTTACGTATCTAATAAAAGTAGCATTATAAATGAAATTTCTTCAGTGCATTTACAATATTTCAATCTGCATCTTTTTATATACTTCAGTCTTATATTTTATTTTTTTGCAGAAGGTCTTTATGGTATGGCTGTTGCAGCTAGTGTTATTTTTGCTGTTGGAAGTGTTCTTGCGGCTACCCTATTAGTATTCAAAAAATGACGTGTGTGAAAAGTTTGTGTCCATTGTGTAATGTAAAATAGTTACTTTGTACAATGGGTTATATATAATTTGTATTTTATTAATTTGTTAATTATGTTATTTTATTTTATCAAAAAAAAGGGAAAAAAGAAATAGTCATTTCACAAAAATTGAAAAAAAAAATCTATGCTCCTTAATGTAGAATTTAGAAGTTTTCTACATTTCTGTGAAATTTATTACTATAGTACTATAAAATCAAATGTATTTTTTTTCTTAAATTGTGACAAAAAATTTTGTAATATGTCACTGTTACCTCATTAAAGAACAGCATTCCAAATGTTTTATGTTTCTTTTTTAATTATTTAAATATATAACGCTTTAAAGTTTAGTTTTATTTAAATCTGCATACACCAAAAATCATGTTTGTTCCAAAAAATAGAATATAAAATAAACATAGCTTTTGTATTTAAAAGTGAAAGTATTGTACTATTTTATGTATGTGTATTAAATTATTCGTGTAATAAATGTCTCTCACCATTTACTGATTTGAATTTTATAAGATAAGGTGACAAGGTATATACTTGGTCAATTCAATACGAATATTTACAAAATTCATTTAATTTAAAACAAATCTATTTAATTTTTCAACTATCGTATTTTATCAATCTAATATTAGTCGATATGCTTATGGAAATACGGGAAGGTAAACATCATTAAAAACAGTATCAAACAGATTGTCTTTTTATATATAGATTTATTGATGACTTCTTAATATCCATTGATAAAGTTGTTTATGTACAAAATAACGCTGGAATATTCCTATAATATTATTATATTTAGTGACCTATGTTATGGCCCAGAGACTCGATAAAACCACTGTCTCCCCACTTAGTTTCATGAGTCTACGCATTCGCTTACTCTTTACGCCAAAATACGGAGCGCCTTTACTATTTTCCTTGAGCACCTCCGTGTTTCCCTCGGCCTCCTTTCTGTTTCATTTTCTTTTTCTTTTTTTCACGTTATATATATACATGCTCGATTCGTCAATAGATCGACAATCGGTGTTCAGCCGCCACAAAGGTGGTAAAGAGGAAGTGCTGGAATCAGGACTGCACTCGCGTTTTTATTATACACTTTAATAGAGATTCAATAAGTGGGAGAAAATTGTATCGTATAGGCGATGAATAATTTTTATACGTACCATTTTCGGAAGTGTATTTACACACGGAGTCAAGAGGACTCTGTCTGCCGCCCACGGTAGAATGTCGATTCCTTAAACGTGAATATATTAAGTGTATCGAGGTTAAATCATAAGCGGAACGTTAAATAAATCACCATATAAAATGACATTTTGTTACAGACGATTATCGAATATCCCATGATACGAACATTACAAAGTATATTAATTTGTAATCGGTACAATTAGAATGATCTATGATTTACGGTACAACATAAAATATGACTCAGTAATTTGTCTGACTGGAAACGTTTACTCTAATCTCCTAATCAGACAAATGAACAAACTACCTTACTTTTACAACATCCTGTCCTTAGGTTACATATGTTTATTAAATTATATTAGGACGATATGTTACATTGTTTAATTTTTATCTTGCTTGTAACGAAATATTAATTTTGATAGGTTAAAATAAAGTCATTTCTAAGAGTAAGTACACTGTTAAAGAATTACATGGAAGTGCGACCGATCGAAACGATTAATGAAACAAAAAAGGTGTGCGTTACGTGACAACACATAACCTTTGAACGTGCTATCCGTGGGTTACATCAGTGGTACTCGAAACGTGAACTTCCATCAATTCCGCGACGACGAAACCGTAGAAGACGACCGTCATTATTTTTTCGAGGATGCAAAACGCCTCGATGTTACTTAGCATAGGAATTAATTATTTGAGTAGAATTAGCAGCTTGAAAATACTTTAAGCAGTTTTTTTTATAAGGATGCATATTGCTTTCTCAATAAGGCTCCGCTATGCTTTACACGAATGTACAGTGTGTCCGCGTGCATGTTGGCTTTCGTTTACCGGCTGATCCTCTGATTTAAAATGCGTTTCCTCGCCCCTCTCCTCTAGCGCTGACAGTTTTGTGAAGCCTCGTGAGTCCTTTAATCATTTCTTTTTCTCTTTTTTTTTTCACTTTTTTTTTTCTCTTTTTTGATATTGGAAACGATTCAGAGTGTACGAGGTCGAATAATTGGGATGGACACCGAAGTCAGCCGCTACTGCATAGACAGACTAGCAAGAGTTCTTCCTCGTTCAAGTGCAATGTATATACCTTTTTTGCTCGGTTAATTAGAAAATTAACAAGTGCAATTTTCGTGTATCAAAATTTTATGAAAAAAAGAAACATTATGAAAGTTTATATGTAAAGATGGTGAAAAAAATAGAAAAAGAGAAAAATAAAAAAAAAAAATAAAAAAATGCGGTCTATTATCGAAAATGGTTAGCACAAAATACAAAATCGGTTCGAAGACACACCAGTCAGAATTCCAGCTTGTCTCTCGTATGCGAAAGGAACGTGAATGAATCGTGTGCATAGATACAAGTTTATACGTCATCCGATCCGACGCGATAGCATTAGATACGTCGTACAGTATAAACATATGTCAATCTCGTAAAAGTAAAACGATAGGCCTTACAAACTACCGGCGTTAAATTTTGTACAATAATTTAATATTCGTGACACGATTAATTTACTCGATCTTACTCTCTATATATATAGCCCCCCACCCCGCAGCCATTCCCCCGTATAAAAAAAAAAAAAAAAAAAAAAAAAAAAAAAAAATGCGGTCTATTATCGAAAATGGTTAGCACAAAATACAAAATCGGTTCGAAGACACACCAGTCAGAATTCCAGCTTGTCTCTCGTATGCGAAAGGAACGTGAATGAATCGTGTGCATAGATACAAGTTTATACGTCATCCGATCCGACGCGATAGCATTAGATACGTCGTACAGTATAAACATATGTCAATCTCGTAAAAGTAAAACGATAGGCCTTACAAACTACCGGCGTTAAATTTTGTACAATAATTTAATATTCGTGACACGATTAATTTACTCGATCTTACTCTCTATATATATAGCCCCCCACCCCGCAGCCATTCCCCCGTATTTCACCTTTGTTCTGTATCGTTACGTGTCGATTGACTAGCAACACGATACGATACGATGCAATTCGTTAATTTTTTCTCCCATCTCTTTAATACGACGTTCATATCGTAAAATATACAATTTTCTTCGCTTCGTTACTTTAATTATGATAGTGTAATACTCTCTTTTTTTTCCTTCTTCGCTTTTTCTCGTCTATCTACGACACTTGACCCGACATTTACAATATAGTTAATTACAATCGGACATTCTACTTAGGGTTCTTTCAGTGCGTTCGCAGATTCGATCGTGGAAAACACGGGTAAACGATATCGAGATTAATCGACTATCGATTATCCGTGTTTCCGTGCACTCGCTCTTCGCGGCGTCACATTTCTTGCGCCCAAAAGAATCTTACGTTGCTTAAAAAATAATATCTGATATATCTAGTGCTGGCTTATCGCTACGTTAATTTTCGAGTTACTCGAATTCGATCCCGAGCACCTCGTCGGAATACATTGGATAGGATATAAAGCAGTGTTTTCACCATACGACACAAACGTTAGGACGTTTTTGCGAACAGGTTATATCGGTTTCTCTCACGCGTGTTACGTTATCCGTGGAAAGGAATGTCGCGAGTTTATGGCCGAATTTTGAACACATACTCGGTTGAACGAGACGATCGACAAGACGTATTCGTAATCCTATGCGTTTCACACGGCACATCACGCTCAAATATATCGAAACGAATCATGGTGTCACTCGAACGTCAGATAATAATTCACTCATGTACAAAGAAGAATGTTGTTCATCGTTTAATATTAATTATAAAAAGAGGTTAGTTACAAATTAGATAAAAAGGCGATGGTTTTGCATGGAACTGTTTTACTGACGTTCAAGAACTCCAGCTCCTGAAAAGCTGCTTGTGCTAAGATTTGTGCGAGTACTTTGGAAAGTGTCCAAGTTACAAAATTAGAAGCACCGTCGCTTACGGCCGATCGCTTTTCGTGCGCGTCAAATGCTCGTTCCGCCATCTTTGACAAGCGTGACGATCCTTTGACGACCCGAACGCCACCTTCCATCGACTGACTTTCTTTGAAACTCAGTTCCTTCGTTCCTCTGTCCAAGATTGACAATGAGGAACGAGAAACGTCTAGATCATGTGTTTACATCGAATTCTTTTACGTTCGACAATAGATAAATTCGATTTCGCGTTAAAATCATCCTTTAAGATGCCGCGAAACGATGATTCTCGTACACACAGAGTAAGGAATATTGTTATAATTAAAATAAACAATGGTTTCCATATAAGAGAAAAATGTAGGAGTTGAAACGAAATATTCGTAATCTATTTCCAAGGTGTGTCGATAAGTTATCATGGTGATTTTTACTGTCTCATTTAAATTTACAATTTAAAGTGTCACACGAAGGAATCACATTCTATTAATTTAGGAATTATTCGTTATTATACATTGAAACTGGATGCATATCGATGTTACAAAACATGGAATTTATTATTGTTTAATCTTTATTAGTCGAAGATGAAAAATAATTCGTGACAAAAATACGAGAATATTTAGATTCGGTTATCACCACCGAAGTCAAATATTTTATAACCTCCTTTACGTTACAATTTCGTTGCAAAGCAATGCAATCTAAAGCAAATAAGTACTGAATTGAAATAAAATTCGGAAAGTGAATTAACAGTGACGAACATTTGAAACAGTGACGTACATTTTTCTCACTTGAGAATTCAGGGCGCCTGGACAATTGATTCGAAAAATAACAAAACATTTTCTACGAGCAAAACACGAGACACAATGAGCGAGTTAACCTATTTTTCGAATTAATAAACGTTCAATTGTCACTTACGACTGGAAAAATGTTTTTTTTCCCTCTTTTTTCCCGCGATTGTCGTATTTGCAACCAAAGGGCGAAACTAACGTGTACCGGATAGATAGGAAATTTTTAAAAGCTGTTTGTTGCAAACACGAGATACGATACCTGACATACCCTGCAAACAAAGTTCGTTCGACTCTGAATGAAGTGTTCGATGGTAAACCATTTGAATTGCTCTTTACGTTTATCAGCATCGACACAATTGTTTCCAGCGAGCGTAGCTACCACTGTATTATCGCTTTCTGATTACAGATGTTCGAGTTTAACGTACGATCGACGAACAGGTTCATCCGGTATAGATCAAACTGCGAATATGGGACTCTCGTCTGGAAAATTGCATTTGCGTAAAATTACACAGATATCTCGCAACTCGCACGAGATATCACAGAAGTATCTGAAACCTGGAATTTCGCGAATTTCGAATTTAATTATCGCGAAATTCGAATTTAAATACCCCGATTGGTAAAATCCGGAATAGGAAAAGACGAAATTTCGCGAAATTTCACGTTCTGGATGCTTTCTCGCAGAGCGGTCGAAGTGTGCGAAATACTTTCGGAAATAATTCGCGTGAGAATTATTTCCTTCGGAAATATTTCGTTGCTCTCGGATTTAGCGGTGGAAGAAAACGAAAATTATTCGAAAGTCTGTTAGTTTCTTTCACCGTCGCGCAGACGGTCTATCAAGTTACCGCGAAGAAACATAAAACTCGCGAAAAAGTTTTATCGTATCTCTAATAATTTTCGAGATAACGTCGGAACAGTCAAACTTCTTCTAGACGGGAAAGAAATCGTGTTCGTTAATTTCTGCTTGCTCTACGGAAATAAACGGAAACCGGCATCGGACAGTTCTTGAATTGTTCCTTAATAGTTTTCTTTGAGTATCCATCGCTCGAAACTTCGAGTTTGCTTTTAGTATTCATGGTTTGCGAAAGAGAAGAAAATAAAAAGAAAAAAAAGGAGGCGTAATTCGTTAATTCTCGTTTTTAAATTTGAATTGAATTTTTATCTTCTTCTTCTTTCTCTTTACTTTTGTTCAATCGCACTACCGTGTCCGTATTTTATTCACGAAAGCAGCAATTACGAAGCTATTTTAGCAATTAAAGAATAAAATATTTTGTCTGAAACGGCTATGTCGATTTTGAAATTAGCCTCGAAATGGAGGAAATAAAATCACCGTTCCCATTGTGAAACACAATGTTATGTATTACTCGAAATCCGTTACATCTATCTCTTTGCTTACACCGTAAAGACTAACAGATTTTCCTAAAGTCCTCTACGTTCTCTTTTACCGTAATTAAATGCTAAAAGAACACACCGTCACCTTTACTATGAATATCAAGGACAGTAAAGCTGCCAGGTATTAAGCCAAATAACATCGAAAATCATTATAACAGAGAATATCAACTAAATATCGCGAAGATTAAAATTACCAAATGCTAGAAAACATTGTAATAACGAATATGAGAAAGTACCCGAATATCGTGAAAAGTCGTAATAAAAAGTATCAAAAGAAAGGTCACTAAGGTCAAGATCTATTCGAGTCAGGGTCAAAGTAACAGAATATCAATAAAACTCGCAGAACAAGGTATAATAAAAGTCACGAAGATAAAACAGTCCTACAGTAATCGAATATCACGAAAAATCATTGCAAAGAGTATCAGAGAAGCATATCGGTAAATTTCAAAATCAGAATTATCGCGAAATATCGATAAAAATCGCAGGAGATAATATCGTACAAATCAGCAAAGTCATCATATCCAAACTTATCGAGTATCGCGAGAAAGTAGCAAGAACAAGACACTAATCTCAGATTATTTGTTTTGCAGATATCAAACTTGAGGGAAAATCGGAAAATAGTGCGAGACTAATGCCCAAGGTCAAGATGTCCAAAGCTGACGACGAGGGCGAAAAATATTAAGAAGAAGCGCGAGGAAAGAAATCACGAAGATCATAGTCTTCAGAGTCATCGAAGTCAGACGTAAGTAGATATTTGGAGCCGAAACGGCCACGATTTCCCATGGTCTAACGATATCTATCGGTTCTAGGTTGGGAAACGCAGGGGTCGCACCATCTGGAGCTGCACACGGGATTTCCCCGTTTTTCGGGCAAACAATGGCTCGCGAGTAGCTGCTCGAAACCTATTCCGGAATCGAAGCTCGTCCCGAGGCCTGAGCTGGAATTCAGCTCCTCCACGGTCGGGAACAGAGCGCGAGAGAGTCGATTCAAGGTGCAGTCACCTTTCTCGACCGGGGTGACCGTGGAATTCCACAGGGTACACTCGGTCGGAAAAATAATCTCGTCGCGCGAGCTTCGCGTCTCTCTCAGCTCCGCTCGCGTTGCACGCGAGGAGTTTGGAAAAACCAGGCAAGGTACTCTTGGCTTAAATACTCGAACCAAGCTGAGCAACTCGAATATCGAAGTGGCCTGATCGTCTGAGCAAACTCGGAAGATTCGATCTCTGCGGATGTTTGAACGTTTCAGATGAACGCTTACGTCGAGGCTACTCGAATGGAAACGTTAACGCAAATTTCATCAGACGCGTATCAAATCCCACGATAAATAGGATATAGATGATAGAGCGAGATAAGATGATACAGCAGATGTAATAACAGGGAACTAGAGGGAAAGGAATTATTGTATTCGTTCCTTGGATTGTTCTATAACAATGAAATGGAAGTGTAGGAGAAAATTGGGATTATTCTTCAATTTTGCTGAAATAATCAAGCTATTTGAAGTATCGTAAGGAGAATAGGGTGCCTGATTCGGTTGGATACTCGGTTTTATTTTTGGATACTTGAACAGCTCCAATGTTATTAGAAGATCGATTCTAACTCGAGTTATATATGTTTCAACGAGATTCAAAGTGTGAAATAAATGCATATCGAAAGATATATAGGGTACAGGGAGAAGTTGTAGAAACTTTGAGAATTTGTAGTAATCGCTGGAATATTAGGGTGATTCGAAACTACCGTCGTAAAATCGATTACCTTATCGCCTTTCATTAAGCACGTAGTTACAAAGTAAATTTTTATTGCGCTATTTGGAAAGGTCTTTCTTACGATTAGAGCAGAGAACTGGATAAATGAGACTGTCGCTACAGATAGTGATTTGAGCAGACAAGATGTTCTTCTTTAAATACGAAGAAACGGAACTGGTAGAAATTCTTCGCGTTTCGTTCTTCGGCTCACGATATTTAAGCTTCGTTTCCAATTTCCCGTCTTCTCTTTACTTCTACATTCAAATTCAGTCATCGCTCGTTACTCGTCAAACCAGACAACGCCGTGATTTAACAAGACTATAAGTGAAGTCATCAGTCACCTGATCCCTGCATCAACCACAAACACTTCACCACAAATAAAAAAATATTCGCCATCTATCTCTTGACACTACCAACTTCGACTTGGACTAAAAATTTTGCTTGTTTGTTTCAGGGAGCACCACGCAGCCCTATCGGTTATCATCTCGAAGTTCATAATCCACCTCTTGTTACCCGGTGTAATGATGGAATGACGGCAGGTTTTTGCAAACTCGAACTGGAAAAAAGTATGTCGAGTGTCGTGTCACCGACGAGAATGCTTATACCGTTGGCCAGCGATCGAAACAGAGATATTGTTGGCGTTGCTGGAAATAGGATTTCGATGCTATCAAGAAACGAACTTAAGGCGCCTGAGTCACGGAACAGTCAGGTATTTCTGATAACGAGCCGAGCCACATGGCTTCCTCGAGGTTTAGACATTAGAAATTACGATTTTGATTAAGTTCTCGATGATATATCGACATAGAGGAGCGCGTAATCCAGGATAGGCAGCGACGAGCTCGAGAGACGAGGCGGACACCCTGGAAAATTTAGTTCACCCGATTGATTTTCGCCAAGAATACGCGTGTCCCGATCGCGTGAAAAATATATACACATCTTACGATCACGGGAGACGATTCGCGCGACACGAATTATTACAATCGCTACGTTATTTACAACCTCGAGACATTAATATCGCAGACACCCTAGACGCGCTAGCCCTAACCGCGCGGCGTTACTTTGATTCTGAAACAGCGGACGAACGTGAAGAAATCGAGAGCCGGTACGAAGTGGCTATTTACATCGAACATCGTTATCTTACAATCGTTTTTCGATGCCTCGTGGCTCCGTCTCATCGCGGTCTATCATCGTTCACGCGTACACCGCGGGACTAATAACTCCGCATCGAGATAGGGGGCGCGGCTGACACCTAAACCTGCGCCCAAGTGGAATAAAAACGACCGCCAGCCGTCCTGGAACGTGCACTCGGCACTGCGAGTAACAACGGGAACCTGCTCTCGAGCTTCGATCGCTATCGAGTTCATGGTGAAACGATCGTGGTTGAAGTACGACGAGCGCACGTAAATCGTGAAACACATTTCGATGCGTTGATAAGTTTTTGCCTCTGGTCGGTTAACAGCTGCCTGGTGCGACCAGGATCGTGCACGGGTATCGTGTCTTGCCAATCGATTTTCGCGTTAGTCGAACCGGAGGAAAAAAAATTGCTGGTCGTTAACGACGATCGAAATTTCCTTTTTTTTTTTTTTTTAGCCTCGTGGCAAATCCCTTTTTTTCAGCTCTGAGGTATATTTTTCTCTGTTGACAAAATAGCGTGGCGAGTTTGGAAAAGCAAAAGCACACGGGGGTTGATCGGGAGAGTTTTGATTCGCGCAACACGCGCCCCCGGCAAGGGTAATCTTTGTCCTACGAATCTCGACGTTGGCAGAGACGTGTGCTCGCACCGACGAGACACTATAAATTTATCCTTAAGTTATGATGATGGAGGACACGTGACACTAGCTGAACTATGTCGTGCCTCTGTATATTGGCGCTTCATTTCCAAAATAAAATTCGATCGTTTAGAATATATATATATGTATATATGTATATAAGTGTAATTCTATGTTAGATGAGAATACGTCTCTTATGATACACGTTATAGTTTTGCCTTCCATAAACGAAAGCGATCTAATAGTTGAATTTCTTAATGCATCATCCATAGTCTGATGCGAGGAACCGGAGGATCCTTCGATGAACGCTCGATCGTTTAGCTTTAGCTCTCAACTAGATGGCTGACTCGTTATTCAATTGGTCGGGTCGGAGATCAAGATATATAATGCACGTTTTGTCGAATTGAATTTGGACACCGATTAATCGGTGGCCTCGATCCTGGTTCAAACGTCGTTCACGAGAGGAATGAAAGACTCGGTTTTCGTAGGAAATGGTTTTAAGTAGCCGTTTTAAGTACAACGAGACAGCGCGTTGTCACCCAGAGTAGTTGGAGCCTAAGTTCACGATCAAGTTGCAGTTTCACGAGAGTTCCAGCCGGTCGAAGAAAGTTCGTTATACATTTATGTTGAAGATTCGTGAAGGACAGGAGAATATTCAATTGAGCGATTATTCTCGGCAGTCAAAACTCGTCGAGGTTACTTTCGAGCTTGGGAATTCCTTCGATTTTATCACGCAGGTCGTGTAGCGACACGCTATCGAACTTGAGATCGTCCTTTGTCGTAGCATTCGACGGTTTCGGTATAATTAAGTGGTCGCCTTTCGTGGAATATTTCAAAGTACGCAAATGCATGTCGCGGAGTGTTCGCGTGAGCGTTCATTTATTACGAATCGTACTCAGAGCGTATAGCTGTCCCATTACATGTTCGTTTTCTTATGAAAATTCAATTTCCGAGGGTGTCTTTACAATAATTTACAATGGCTGCACGCCATTCCTTCTGACAAAAGGGGCTCGCATATCTCGAGGGAACGTAGAAAAAGCAAAAGCCTGCCTCTTAAATAACATAGACGATACAAAGGTACAAGTACAAAGTTATCTAATACCACGCCAATAAATACGAAATATACATGTACGCAAGAAACGCAGGGAATAGGGTACAACGAATGATTGAAATCCCCAATAGAGTATTCTGAATACGATTTCACGTCCTCGTTCTCGAGTTACTCGCTTGCTAAGGCGCTTGAAAATTCACGATTTTCACCATGATCGCGGTATATGTTTCCCATAACGTTCATCGGATCATTTGCGAGCGACAACGATCGGCGGAAGCGTAAACCGAAGAGACGATTCCTCTCTTCTTTGGATCTCCACTCGGTCGTTCCACCTCGCGAACTTTCCAAACTGACATTTACAAACGACGTGTCTCTATGGTCCGAGCATCGGGACATTCATTCGGCGAACGTCATCCTCACCGAGTTCGCCTGGAACTCTTATCTCTTTTTGCCCTCCACCTCTGGCTGCTACGTCTTTGCGGGCTCCTTCGCGAGTGATCCTCAAAGTCACCGACGTCTCCAACACACGGCTTTCGTTCCAAGATGAAGACGATCGTAAAACCGTTGTAGCAACGTGCACTGCTCCTGCTCCGCTCCCCCTTTTCGACACAGTTCTTCACGGACGTTTCACACGCGACGATCCTCAATCCTATCCACCTAGCCCTTAGCCAACCCCTTTGCCGTGGAGTCTTTGGACCGTGCACCACACCATTGTGAGAAGGAAGCAGTGTCCACGTCTAGCGAGACGTATCGATGTCTCCCGATGACTCTCGATAACCAGTCGGTCTGTATTCCCCACGACGGATTCTCTGCTTCCAGCATCGTGCCACGCTGTCATTATCGATCCTCTGGTTCGATTCGCATGCACGACTAATCCTGGTTCATCTTCCAGTCTTCTTACTTCCATCGGACGTATCAGTCTCGGCATCTCGAACCGTGGTTTTCATTAAAAATACCATCCACGTACCCTCTCTGTATACTCGCGCTTCGCTCTAATTTACGTTGGCAGAATTTAACCACGAGGTTCGAGATTTACCCGTCGAACCGGTACACAGCGTTGATCGCAGTTCAGAGAAATTCCATCGGCTAAAACGTTGTAATCTGATTCGAATTGCTACGCCCGTGGTGCCGATCCCAGCGAAGACTGGCAGATAGGTGATTGGAATGTAGCAGTATCGGTTAATTACTCGTCGATATTGTTCACCGACGTCCGTCGTAATCAGTCTTCAATTTGATTTACTCGCGAGCCCGCCAATTTCATCCCGACTGCATCGACATTGTGTCCCGCTGGATCGTCTCGCTGGATCGATGGATCTTTGCTTCTTCGACCGTATGCGTCCATCAGCGCCGGACGGAGACGAGCCAAGTGCGGCCCATTTCGTGTCTCACCAGTTCACCGTCAGAGTCCCCACCACCTCAACGTTTCGAGTTCAGTCTTCGATTCAATTCGCTCGGCCTATCCGCGTTTACCCTTCACGAGTTCACCTTGTTCCCGCTTTCACCGCGCGCGTCTCGCACCTTTACGCCCGATACGTCCCTATCTCGCTCATGTCCAGTCCGTCCCGCATCTCCATCTCCATCTGTAGCTCCCGCTGCTTGTCCGACCGATGGGGCACGGACTGCGCGTCCCGATCGCGACTCCTCTCGCGTCCCGAGGACCTGTCTTTCTCGCGAGTGAAGTGATGGTACTGGTGGGTCGCGTGGCCGTTCATTGGCAGAGTAGGGTAGGAAGATTGGCTGCAGGACGACTGGTGTCTCGAAGGGAGCGGCGGAGGCGCGTGATGATGGCCGGGTATACCGTTCTGAAGCCTCGAGTCGTTCTGCACCCTTTCCGATCCGTTGTCCGCGTCACGGGAGGGTAGATGGGGCGGCTGCGGCGTACGACGTAAAGAGTGATTCGAGCAATGTAACCTGCCGCCAATCGAGGAGTAATTATCAGCGGCGATGCTCAGTGGCGTGGAGCCGTCCTCTATCGGGGCGGCGGAAAGATGACCGGACGTGCCGGAATTGGGCAGCGTTCCCGGACGACGCATTTGACGCGCCGTCTCCCCGTCGATGTAGGTGAAGCCTTCAGCGAGAGTAGTGCTGCCATGTGGCAAGAACCAAACACCGCCGGTTCCAGGGCTCGCCGCCCGAAGTTCTAGCTACAGTTCCGTCACCGGTATCGGTTTAATGCCCGCCGCTATTTGCGAATGCTGCTGTTGCTGCTGCTGCTGCTGCTGTAGTTGTTGCTGTTGTAGATGGTGATGGTGATGATGGGACGGGAGCTGTTGCGACTGCGGCTGGTGATGATGGTGGTGATGGGTGTGCGCTGACCTCACGATGTACTCCTCGTCGGAGAAGGTCTTCTGATACTCGTGCTCCTTGCGCGAGATGGCGCGGTTCTTCCATTTGTAGTCCTTCAGCGCGTCCCTCACGTGCCTGCGACATCTGTAGTAGAGGATGAGAGCTAGACCGGTGAGCAAGGCGAGACCAGCGGCGCAGAGAGTAGCTAATAGAGCTTGTTTCCGGGCATCTGAGAAGGCGCAGCCCAGTTCGTCGGGTGTCATGCCTTTTATGGGCTTGCCTTTCGACTCGCGCGGCTCCGCGCATAATACCGGGCTGGAGTTCCTCGGGACGAGAACCTCGGATAGCCAGAGCAGGCTACAGTCGCAGATCAGGGGATTCTCGCTTAAATCCAGTCTACGTAGCTCGTTCCAGGCCACCAGGGACTCCGAGAATCCGGTGAACGCGTTGTCACGCAGCATTAGGTGCCTTAGGTTAGGTAAACCAGCCAGGGAACCGTCCGCCATCGTAGTTAGACGTTTGTTGCTGCTCAGCACTAGGGTTTCTAGATTGGCGTTGTCCGAGAAAGCTCCTCGTTCCACAGTGGTTAAGAACTTGGCCGCGGATATGTCCAGCTTTTTCAACTTTGACAGGCCCTGGAAGGCGCCGGATCTCAGAGTCGTGAAGAAGTTCTGACCTAGCGTAAGCTCCTCGAGTCGAGGCAGAACGGCTAGTTGCTTCGTTGGGACCTCGCGTAGCTTATTCCCATCTAGTTCCAACGTGCGCAAAGCGTTCAAACCGCGGAAAGCGTTGTCGTTGATGTCGTCTAGGCCAGCGCCGGTGATGTCCAACACGGTTAACTGTTCTAGTCCCTTGAAAGCGTCGTTTGGAAGGGAGGAAAACGCGTTCCAGCCTATATGCAGCTCTGCTAGAGCGTTTAAAGGAGCCAAGGCAGCGGATGGAATGGTTTTCAGTTGATTATCGTCCAGATGCAACACTCTGAGGGTGCCCAGTTTCAGGAAGGCACCTGGCTCCACCTTGGATATGCGATTCTTCCCCAGATCCAGTTCTTCTAACTTCGATAACGAGGCGAACAGACCGTTCTTCAGACTCTCCAGGTAGTTGTCCCGTAGATTCAGCACCGTCAGTGATTTCAAGCCTTGAAACGTCTTCTCGGTCAACGCTGAGATCTTGTTGTGTCTCAGATGAAGCTCCACCAGTTGCTTCTGCGCGTCGAAGCTCCCGTCGGGAATGGTAAACAGGTGATTGCTCGATAGATCCACGTTCTTTAGGTCCCCGTAGAATCGAAAGGCCGCGTCCACTATTTTTATCCGATTTTCCTTCAACACTATCCGCTGGATGCTCGGGTTCAAGGCGATCGGTATGACGTCCAGGTTCGCGCCTATGCAGGATACCACGAGGTTCTCGTCGTCGCAGATGCAGCTGTTCGGGCAGATCGCAGCCGTGCCGAGGGCAAACAGGCAGGCAAGGACGAGCAGGTGGAGCAACGCAGCCGATGCGCTCGTACGCCGTGGTGTCTGGAAACAATAAACAAGAAACTCTTTATTAGGCTGCTTCCCTGGCCACGGCTTATCGCGAAACGTAATTTACATTAATGCTAGCTTTATTGTCAGGCATAAATTGTTCTCTGCGGAGGCTACTAACCACAGTCGTGACTAGGCCGCCGGCATAAATGAGCCAAGTTATTTCTGCTTCGGGAGGGTTTCGAAGATTAACTTCATCGTTATTTTTTAAAACCTGCTTTGGAACAGGTCGTCTATACGATCAAGGTGTCTGACAAGGTGTCTGTGGGTAGCGAGGATGGAAGATCGACTCGATGGAGGGAATAGTGACAGCTAATTGCATTGTCTCTTATTTTCTTCATATTTTTCTAGACATCCTTCGATTTCTTAAAGATCCTTTGTTTCTTAAATGCAACAGTGTGATTAAATGAATAAAAAACAGGCAAATTCTCGTGTTTGTGTCTTCAATATCTGCGATAGTACTTAGTACTTCTGACAAAATATAATTTATCCTGCCCTCTGTGGAGTCTATCGTGTGCTTGAAATATTAAAACAGATCAAGGAGCGATACCTAGCAAATCACTTGCGTCGATGCCTTCACGGACAGTCGCCTTTAGGGTTCGGAACCATCGAGCATAGTGAGGTATACGAGGGTGACGTCTGTCACGGGAAGGGTCACGAATAGTCTAGGGATCCCAAGTGCCTATGAGGCTAACAGACCTATTAATCACCGTGACGCAACCTCAGGTTTATGAAATGTCGATATCTAAGGGCGGTAGAGGTCGTTTGAAACGCACGTGTCTGCCAAATGTTCAGTAATCCGAGACTTCCAGGATCCCGATTCCAAAGATGCTTCACACCAAATCCTCCACTAGACAACCTAGCTTTTACGCGTTCTAAAATCCAGCCAACTTTCATCCGACCTCCAACCTTTCAGCCACGGTGAGATATAGATCGGAACAATGGCACGGGTTAGGAGGAGACGGAGAATCGCTAATCTAACCGAAAGTTACTAGCGTAGACACAGTGGCGTATCGAAGCCAAGGGGTTAAAAGGAAGATTCGTCGCGGAGACAAATTTCTGCGATAAAATGACACGCGAGGGTGGAATCTAGCCTGGCAATCAAGGGATTCCCGAAGAAGCTATCTCTCGTCCGGTCGACGACTGGTATCCCGGTGAAATTAGACCCTTTGTTGCACGTACGTAGGTTAATCCGTATACGAAACGCAGGCGCGAGGGCCTGCTCTTAAACACGCGGCACGATCGCGACGTGTCAGCTGTATTAAAGGTAAAAACGGGCACGTCATTAGGAAGGGATTATACACTCGCAATAGCGGAGTTACCCCGCGGGGTCACCGGCACACTTGACTCCATTACTCATTTCCCATTTCAGCCGTATCACGAGATTCGGCCGCCATTTAATGAATCGAGGCCCCCTCGAACGTGCTTTCGTATTATTTATTCGAGCATTTCTGCATACTCGCGGCCGGCACGCACGTGTTTCGTGTGCAAATCTTTGCCGGCGTGTATGCTGAATAAATTGGCGGCACGCTCGCAGATACCGGTCCTGATTAGGCGACGTTGTAATTTCGCGAAAATATCGCGAAGACTTTTAAGCGACCATATTCAGTCGCTTGTTATCGAGGTAATCGGTGGTAATATGCAAATATCCTTGTTCTTCGTGCTGGCTCAACGAGCCTTTTCACTGTCATTCGATTGGTAGCCGGTATCACTTGGATTTAATGGTAATTTTTATCGTTTGCACGCAATATAAATTTGGTCAAGCACGCGCTATCGTGGGATCTATGTAAAGCTAGCTTAAACAGGCTGAGGGGTGGAATTAAATACGCGTAATGGGGTGACTTTTAATAATACGTTACACATGTTATGCATATTGTGTCATGTGATCCGGAATTGTAGAATTTTGATCGATTTAATACATTTATTGGTACAATAATACAATTAACTAGCATTCACAGTCTATAATACAGCGATTTTTAATAATACCACATGATATATTAGAATACTGGAATTTTAGTTAATTTACTTCACTGCTCAGGCTAATCTTATCCCCAGGATGTTAGTATAGTGAATAATGCAACGATTTTTAATAATACCACATGATATATTAGAATACTGGAATTTTAGTTAATTTAAATAATAGGATTATCGATATAATTATTAGTGCAATTCTAATTAGCATGTAATAGGTTAAAAACACTGCTCAGGCTAATCTTACCCCCAGGATGTTAGTATAGTGTATAATGCAACGATTTTTAATAATACCACATTATATATTAGAATATTGGAATTTTAGTTGATTTAAATAATAGGATTATCGATATAATTATTAATGCAATTCTAATTAACATGTAATAAGTTAAAAACACTGCTCAGGCTAATCTTATCCCTAGGATGTTACTGGATGATGCTGGATAGTATGACTATAACGTATAATACAGCGATTTTTAATTATACGTTAGAATAATAGATATTTAAGTTAATTTAAATAATTGGATTATCGACATAATTATCAGTGCAATTCTAACTAGCATGTAATAGGTTAAAAACACTACTCAGACTAATCTTATAATTAGGATGTTACTTCCTGGACAGTATTACTATAACACAGTTACTAATAACTATAACAAGTGTCAAACTATTCTCCATCTAGCTCAGAATTAATTTCCAAAATTCATCGCTGTTCGTTATTGAATTTCTCACATATATTAATTACCGTTCGATACAATGATCCTCGTATTATTCTACATACGTATCGCGCATCTAACCTTCGCTTCATTTTTCAAACCCCGTTTTATTCGTTATTTGATTCCACAATTCAGCGAAATCCTGCACGCGCGTTATTCATTGCCCGCGTCGTAAAAAAATGTTTTCCATGTCGCCGATAAGTAATTCCGAGTTATCTTTTACTGCGTACAGAAACATTACCCCCGATAGAAATTGCTAAAAGCGTAATTAGTAATACATCTATTACATCGTAATACATCGTAACACATTGTAACCTGTCCGAGGAGCAACACGTACGCGAAAATAACCCGGCCCCATATTTGACATAGACACGCACACGCGCGCAAGGCCCCATATTCCCGATTTAATACGCAACGTTTTAATCCTGTTTGCGCATTGTTTTACTTTTCGACAATCGCCGGATCATATTCCACGATTAAACAGTAGCAAGATTAAACTTGTTGTAAATTTCACGTCGCGCTTATAATCGCAATTACGATACACACGCAACAAAGCGGCGATAAAATAACGTGCTTCACTGGCAAATATTTCTAGCGGGCAAAGGATACACAAATGGGAACGTTTCGAATTAATTAACTTCGCCGCTGTTTCCCATGTCCCAAGTTATAAAAAGAGAAAAAATAAAACCCACTCCGGGGGTGGTCTAGGGGGTTAAGAGGAACTCATTAATCTAGACACACAGAGCTGCCTCTTTCGCTTCGAGAAAAAGGGAAGAGAGGGAAAGAAAAAGGAAAATAGAACTTCTTTGAAATATTATTCCAGCTATTATTCCGTGCCATCCACCGGCTCCCGAATATAGTGCCAAATGAATTGCTCCTTAAGTTCGAAAGAAGCTCTCTCCGAGAGGCGACTTTTCGCATTCTAACGCAATTGAAAGTTGCCGCGAAATCGGAAAATGGACCCAAGTTTTGATTACTTTAAGTCCGGCTAGGCGCCTTTCCTTCCCCGAGATCAGCGTTAAATTCGATTTGTACTTCGCCTGAACGGAAAGAAAGCACCCAGCCAGTTGGTCGATACAATTAGAAACTCGTCGAGGATCGAGAGAGGAGAGGAAAAACGGACTATGCACCGCGTCTTCTCTTCATCAGACGAGTGTTTTCGAATATCTTCATCTCCCGGTTACGGGGCAACTTTGCACCGAGTCTTTTCGTCTCCTATGCCCAGAATTTTCCCGGTCTCCTTCGTTCCAAAGAAAGAGAATTTTTCGCCATTTTATATTCGATATCAAATTTATATTATATGTCAATCTTTGAAATACCGTGTCGGTGGTATTATTAGTCATTAGGAAGTTCCATATTGCCGACCTGGTAGCCCTGGTAAGACACAAGACATGGTCTGATGCTGGTCATCATAGATGCAAAGTGCCTGAGAAGTATGGAGCAATAATTCACTTCAATTTTTCTTTTCAAATTCGGAAACTTCATCCAATAACGAAATACACAGGCCTACCAAGGGTCTATATAAATGCTAGACCTAGACCTGGTAGCACGCAGCATATAAAGGTACACGATGTCTAGGTAATGTCACAGTCCACTTACTATTCGATGCCAAACACAATCTTGCCAAAGAGCCGTCCGTCATTAATCGCTGTCGAGCAAGAAGGGCCTAATGACGATATACACTTTCCATTATTTTATTTCAGAATTGCGAATCGACTGTAGAATATAATCCCAATGAGGAAAGATCGGATGCCCACCGTTTAAAATTTGACCGCATGGTGTCAAGGCAACGGGAGTCCATTTGCTATTCGATGCCAAACACAATTTCCTCAAAGAGCCGTCCGTCATTAATCGTTGTCAAACAAGAAGGACCTAATGACGATATACACTTTCCATTATTTTATTTCAGAATTGCGAATCGACTGTAGAATATAATCCCAATGAGGAAAGATCGGATGCCCACCGTTTAAAATTTGACCGCATGGTGTCAAGGCAACGGGAGTCCACTTGCTATTCGATGCCAAACGCAATCTCGCCAAAGAGCCATCTGTCACTAATCGTTGTCAAGTAAAAACAACCTAGGGACGATACACACGTTCGATTATTTTATTTCAGGATTGCGAATCGAGTACAGAGTGTAGCCCCGATGTGGAAAGATCAGATGCTCACCGCGTTTGAAGTTTGACCGCATGGTGTCAGGGTAACGACAGTCCACTTGCTATTCGATGCCAAACACAATCTCGCCAAAGAGCCATCTGTCATTAATCTTTGTCAAGTAAAAACGATCTAGTGACGATATACATACAC